TCCTTCTTTACTGCCCATTCACCTGCAGTTGCAGGCCAGGTAAGTCCTCGCTTCAGCAGGCCACGTCAGGAACCCGCCGCGCATGACCATACTTACGCGCTCGCAAACAGCAGCGATGGATCAAAGGCCAGGCGAGACTGACGAGGCCTACGAGGCACGGCTGGCGGCCATCATGGCCGAAAGCAAGCAGCGGCAGCAGCACGGAAGAAGAGGGAAGCAGATGCCGAGAAGCAGCGTCTTCTGGCTGAAGAACAGCGGCAGAAGCACGCGGAAGCAGCAGCCAAGGCAGCGGATGGGGAACGCACACGGCGACGCGAGATTCTATTCCGGGAGGAAAATGCATTATACGCACAAGCCAACGATTGGCAGAAGGAGGCYGAGAGCRGCGATMCCGTTGACGTCGGGAGCAKAGTATYTYAGCTGCTCAACCGTGTCACGGACCTCCTCGCGACTTGCATCGCGCAACAGGAGGATATCCACTCTCTCGACAACACCAACAAGGCGTTACAGCAGTCAACGGACCAGATGCTCAAGCGCATTCAGCAGCTGGAGCAGCAGGTCGCTAACGCCAATGCCAGCGCCGGCCCCACCGATCTCGCCGACCGCATCAACGTCTTGGAGATAGACGTGGGGACACTCAAGGCCGGGGCACAACAGCACGTCTGTGCCGCAGCCAGCTCCAGCATGGCGCCACGCGAGACCATTGTCAAGTTTGACGGGCTCCCGATCTTCTGTGACGCATTGAAGACCGACCCCATCCAATGGCGGCGCCAGTTTGAACTCAAGCTGGACATCCACCACGTCATCGACGCAAATCGGCATGCATACTTGTACTCCCGCTCGGGAGGCGCRTGTCAGGCATGGTTGGACAACATGCTGTCCGCCCATGCATGTACAGTCACCGAGTTGCACAATTACATCTCCTGGGCAGATCTCACGGTGGCATGGAAGAAGCGCTTCCAAGTAGAACCGCTCGAGCACAAGGCGATGGACAAGCTGCTGACGTTTTCGCAGAACAGTATGCCAAGCGGAGACTGGATATCCGAGTACCAGCGACTGGCAAGCACGCCCAAGTTGCCGATGAACTTCGACGGCATCAAACTCTACTTCATCAAGAGGTCGTGCCCAGCGCTGTAGAATGCGTTGACTCATGTCGCCGACACCCTCACCACAAGCGAGGAACTCTTCAACAAGGCCGCGCAGATCATTGTGACGAATTTGGCAGCCCGAAATACGGGCCCTTCGTCAAATGTCGGCCAGGGCGCGCATCAGCATCGGCCGAAAGTGGCCATGGTCGTAGCGACAACGACTAGCGACCCTTTTACTTCAAACGAGGCTGTTTCGTCTGACGAGGGAGACAGACTCGTAGCTGCCCAGAATGGTGGCCGCCCCGCCAAAGGACGAGGACGCGGCAAGCCGAAGACCAACACCAATACTTCTTCTAGGCTCGGGCAAGCAGCTCCAGCTCAAGGACCTTGGACAGCGTACAGTTTGACGGAGCGCGGGTATCGCGTCCGCACCAAGTACCGTTATTATTTGTGGTGCAATTGCGAGGCCCATGAGACTGTGAACTGCCCCACGAAAGCCAAGGGCCCCGCTCAGTCGGGAAAGTGAGCACCGCCGAGAGTGTTGCGACGACACTCTTGACGCCTACGGAACCGGTTGCCGGTCGGGTAACCTCCCTCGGTTCCGGGGCACATGCGGACGTCATAAGTCCTATTCTTCATTCTTTCATGCTGCCCGGCTCGTACCTTCGCTGGATTCACGAGCCCAAGGACAGGATGCGGTCTCTTCTCCGATCGGAAGCAGCAGCATTGATTCGTCTTCAAGTGGACCTTCACGGGATTCGGCGCACGCTTTCAACATTGAGGACTTGGACCCGTTGACGCCCGAGGATTTTGCATGGCTTTCTCTCCCTTCCACCGGCTGCTTACCGGAACCGCAATGCGCAGCTCTTCGCGCCCATTTACATACACACCTAGCCTTCTATGCACCACCTACTTCGCCTACGGAGGACGAGGTCGCGGTGGGGGACATTCTTGCGTATGTGAGCAAGGTGGCCCGCGAGTTTCGCACGGAGCGGTACGACGACAACAACTCACCGCTCCTTTATGTCCGCATCCAAACCGGGCAAGCGTCCTGCAGCGCTTTGCTGGATAGCGGCGCGACTCGCAACTTCATTAGCTAGTCCTTCATGCAAAGGGCCGGCCTTGGACCACAAGTTCGAAGGAAGGCACACCCTACGATGATCAAGCTGGTGGACGGTCAAACGCAACAACTCCTTGATCGCTACATCGAAGCCGTCCCGGTTTATTTCGCACCTCATGCATGCGAACCGGTGACGTTCGACGTCTTGGACACGGACTTCGACATCATTTTGGGCATGCCTTGTCTTGCAAGTGCGGATCACACAGTCAACTTCCACCGGCGGACACTTACGGTTCGCGACGCGTTCGGCGCCGAAGTACCGTGTACCATTCCTCCTCCGCAGCCTTCGATCCGGTGCCAAGTTGTAACCGCCAAGTCTTTTCGGGCCACTTGTGCTTACGAGCGGACCGAAGAGATCGGCTTATGTTTTCTTCGAACC